ACAGAGAAAACGACTGAGGCTGACTACAGCTTGATATAAGCAGCACCCTGACTCTGACAGTAATCAAACCCACGTGCCCAGGGCAGAGCATCGCCTGAGAGGAAGCTTTACTGATGCTTTCCCCAGAGCACACCCAAGCCCCAGCACTTTGCAAGTCAGGGACCAGCTGAGGTTCAGAGTCTGAGCACACAGCTGTTATACTAAATGGGGAGAAAGCAGATTTGGGAAGTTCAGGGACCCCTCTCCTTGGCTTCGCTGGCCGCAAATTTGGCATGCCTGTTTATCATCATGTGAACTAGATTGCCATCATCCTAGGCTATCTTTTCTGCTCATAAATTAAAAAAAAAGAGAGAGAAAAAAGAAAAAAAGAAAAAAAGAAAAAAAGAAAAAAAGAAAAAAAGAAAATCTTTCTCCACTTGCCCTTTTCCCTGACAGTTCCATGTCCATTTTTGTACAGGATTTTATTCCCTGCTGAGCCACTGAACTAGTATTTTGCTGGGGGAGAGAGGAAAAGAAATACTACTATTGCTCTGCTGAGCTATTTTCATTCCTATATATAACACATATGGAATGTGCATATATTTTAAAAGTCAGATTCATACCTCCTCTTGGACATCATCCATAACTACATCTCTACCTGCTAAGGAGTACAGAAGTGATAAACACAGTCACCCTGCTCAGCGCCTTACCTCATGGTCTAGGCTCATTTGATCACCCAGGCTTTCTGCCTCACTGAAGCAGAGATCATGACAGCTGTTTTCATTTTTACTCTCACTCATCTCATGAAAGCACTTCAACTTCTCATCTTGAATTACCTCCATTTCCTTTGCTGTCTTTGAAACAGCTTGGAAACTGTCTCCACCTAAAGCTTCTTGTGCCTGACGTGTTATCAGTGGTGGAATATAGACCCTTGATGGTGGACCTATAGCCTTCCATGAAAAAATATTAACTCCAGAAAAAGGGTTACTGGTATTTTGGGAGGTATCATCAGCTGTGTTCCAGTGTCCTTCTTGACAAATTTGCTTAGAAAGTGGATTCATTCTGACGTCCTGGAGCAGCTTTGTTTGCTTGGCATCTATTTTGCCCATTTTCTCCTCTGCTCTGCGCAGGGAATCTTCTGCCTCATGCAACATGCTTTGTAAAATCTTTAAATCAAGGACACATTTGCTGATGTACTGCTCCTCTCGGGACGGATGACCCATTCTTTTCCCAGCATTTCCTCTTGCCTGTGCCAGCATGCAAAGGTCAGAGGCCTCACTTACCCTCTCCTCCTCTTCCGTAGTATACTCTGTACCCGATTCTGAAAAGCCACCCTCCTCATAAAGTGGCTTTTCCTCACAGGGCACTCCAGGGGATGCATAAAGATCTCCAAGGGTACCCCAAGCTTCTTCCTTTTGCTGCATTTTTTCATCTTTTAGAGTTTGACATAATCCAGCTTCTTCTTCCATTGAGTCGTTGTGGCATTCTGGAAAACTGGCAAAGATTTCATTGTTTTCAAAGCTACAAAGGCTGTCATCCACATCACTGGCACTGAAGGTTGTCTGGGGTTCAGATGCTACATCATGATTTTTGTCCTGTGCAACTGGCTGCAGACTGATTGATGCCTCTTGGTCCACTGAAGCACTATGCTCCTCAGGTAAGGGAGAGTATCTTGAGGTAGTAGAGCTGTCTGAAAAAATGGATTTTAAGTGTTAAGCCATTTCTCCAGGTGTCCATCAAACACACTCCTTTCGTACATTTAGAAGTTAACATCTTTTAGAGATTACGTGAGCAGCATTTAACACCTCTGCTGAAAACTGTGTGCCTGAACTTGAAATATTAACCAGACTTAAAGTCTTGAGTTTACATTAACAATAAGGGTGGCACCTAAAATCCAAACCTAACTGCTTTCTGTTTTCAAACTATGTAATAAAATCTGTAAGTGCTCACATTTTAATTATTTATATTAGACCTTTATGGACTGAAGAACACGCTAAGTGAAGGACACATGACATCTTGCCAGAAGAACCTCACCAGCCTCGGTTATCTCTTCTCTCTGCACTTCCTGTCTTCTCTTCTGGTAGCTAAAAGCTGATGCCAAACAGATGTTCACATCCGCAAAAGCAGCAGGTCTTGGTGCTTTTGATATTTCATCAGCATGACCAGTGTGAGACTTGGTTAAGTCCTGTAATACAAAAAACAGAATAAAAGACAACTATATTAGACAGTGCAGTGTTTCTACCTTCTCTTTCAAAGTGGTTTGCTTCCATGATCAGAAAATGATAATGTTTAGACTACTCCCAACCCAGATTTAAGCAGAACAACTTGAATCTGAATGGACACAAAACTGCCATTTTAAATATGTGCAAGGCTACAATCCTGGAAGTCACCTTTAAGTCATTTTTCATTATATATTGAATATCCTGAAGTTTCATGAAGCGGTTCCTCTGCTTAGGTTCTAGCCCTGACTTTACAACATCGTAATAGGGCATAGGAAGTCTGACATCTGCTTCTAACTGTTGTCCTGAAATGATGAGCTGTTTAATAACTGAGTCTTCAAAACCTTTCCAGGGAAGGGTCTCTACAAGACATAAATATAGACTTTACGTCACAAACTATCAATGTGAATAAAATAAAGAAAGAAGAAAAAAGAGAAAAGGATCAGAGATACTGAAGCATTACCGTCTGCACGTTCCCTAATTAACAACTACTCTCACAAACCCAATGAGCACTCAGTTCAGTCCCTATCTTATTTCAACAGTGGATGTTTTACAGGGAGCTGACAGCAATCTCTAAAGGACTGTAAACCATGCTCCGGATTCTTCATTACCAACTAGATAAGAGAGGGTTTAATTTTTAGGGTAATTATTTATCCCATTTCACTGCCAAAATAGTCAAAGTCAATACATAACCTACATTACATTATCTGTAATAACAATAACAATACGTTGTCTTTAAGTTAGCTTAGGGATCAAAAAGATGAATGGTTCACAGGCTTGTTTTGCACATTGCAAAGAGTAACTGAATGTTTTCCTATCTTCATATGAAGAAGAAAGATAAACAGCAGAATAACACCATACACAAAATTGTATTTCTATTTTAAAGTCTCCGGTTGTCTTTGCTATTGTCATTAACATTTGGTGGTTTGGTTGTTTTTTTTTGTCTGGAGGTTTCCCTTTCCCAGTTACCTTGGTATGAGCCATCACAGCAAGGTTTTATCCAGTCACAGAGGGGGATTAAACACATATTAAGGAGCTGACGGTCTGCACTGAAACCATTCATTGGGTTACCCCAGTGCAAAAGCCTAGATGTACCTGTCAAGGCCTCCTGCACTACTGTACAGAAGCTATAAACATCCGATTTGACTGTGACAACTTTTTCAAGAATTACTTCAGGAGAGCACCACTTATAGAATTGGACTGGGACAGGAATACGTGTCAGATCACTATGTTCTCCACCATCTTTGCTGTATAAAGAGAAAAAAAGTTATAAATCGGGACATACAGCACTGTCAACTAGAATCTATACTTTTTGGAATGAAACACTCTTATATCTGCTTTTGGTTTAAATACCTAAAAGGTCCAGAGTATACCTGCAAATAAAAATCTGTAATGTTTTCATACTGATAAATGTATTTTGGCACATTACAGCAAAGACTTTTCGGCAAAAGTAGCACCTCCTTTAACAAATTCACACTCAAAAAGAAATCAGAGAAAGTTGAAAATTTTGCAGTATGAATTTTACAAACAACACTTTAGCTCTGGCCATGGACAAATACAAGAAGGTGGCACCTGGCCTGTCAGTACTTATTTTGCAATGTATACTTATGTCTAGAAGATAACTTCCTCCTTATATTTAATTATAGGGGGGGTTGTTACTCATTTCACAGCAAGCTGTACCTGAAATAGCCAGGAAATCCCCAAGATTTATTAATAAATTGAGTTTAAAAGAAGGTTAGGACCTTTGCTCCTTTCAGGACATTACTACTGGCAAATTTCTGTTTATTACCAATTTTACTCTCTTTCTTTACACTCTAACCAGCCATTTACTTACTTTCTAATCAGACTGCACTACGGGAAACAAGTAAAAAATGTATATAAATTGTAATTTACCCAAATGAATTTAATGGTGTCTCTCATAAAAGAAATACTCTTTTTGTCACTGGTGACACTTAATTACTACCAGTTCAATGAGGTGTGGAATCATCAACTACTTTAGGTAAGTCTCCATATGCACAAGTTCAGTATAACAGCCCTACAGCAGAATTAGTGACTCAAAGAGTAATCTCTCTTCTGTAAGATTAGGTTCTATTTCTCTATGATGGTATTTTTATACTCCAGTAAAGAGCTGCTTCTCTTATTAGTTTCTATTTTGAGGTATTTATAATATAGAAACTGAATCCACCTGAAATTTGCCATGCTACCTGTGGCAAAGTTTATGTAAGTAATAATTTGGAGTTCTTCACTCCTGTAACTCTGTTGCCCAAATCAGAGGCAGGAGTCCTTAGATATCAAGAGGGGCACTTCAGAAGAATTTAGCACTAAATTTGATTTTTATTTGTGTTTGTCCCTTTCACAGAAACAGCAAGGAAATTCTTTACCTCTCTATCATGTATTCCAAGTTGCACAGCTTTGCCTCACCAGAAGAAACAATCTGAATAGCATAGGAGGTAACTGAACGGTGGATAAATCCCCGGGAGTGTAGAAAACGCAAAGCATCATTAATTTGAAGCAGCACGTGCAAAATGGTCTCCATGTGCAGTACTGGGAATTCTGAACGCTGAAAAAACAACCACCCCAAAGCACCAAATTTATATTGCAGGTCTTTAAAGCTTCATGTAGGGAAAAACTATTATTGTACAGAAGAAGGCAAAGAAAGCAAACGTGAAACTTACTGCAGTATAAGTCAGACAAATTGCACTTGCAAAATAATGGTAATTCTCAATACCAAACCAACTAATAACACCTTAAAAGACAACTAAAAAAAAAAAATAATTATACACTATGCCAAAATTCAATCTGAAGCAGAATGAACTTTTAGCGTTTCTTGCCTCTGACTGCAAGTTCTCCATAACTTAGATGTCTGCATTCAAACAGTTAAAGGAATAAAGGAACAACTCTATTAACTGAAAAAAACGGAATGACAAAAATGAAACACAGGTCAGTTGATGATTTAAAAAAAAAAAAGAACCACAACCAAGTTCAAGCTGTCACTTTTATATCAGGCAGTTTGCAATGTATTACAAGCAAATACTCAAATGCAAAAGCTGGTCTCAGCACATCTGCAGTGTACAACTACATGCACTTTAAGAGTTCAATTGCATTTAACAGCAGCCATTTTAAGACTGACACCAAACAAGAAAATCAATGCAATTGCACCTAAACATTAACTGAAGTATTTGCCAATTACAAACTCTACCAGCTTACACTGAGTATCTGACACTGTGCAATGCAATGAAACCCAGATACACAGACTGATGATTTTGTCTTCTTATTCTTTGACTAAAGATGGTAGATGTAGTTATTAAATTTCTTCCTCTCAATTAATTATAAAAATCAAGTATTCCAATTACCCTTTCATGAAGAATGCTGTACAGAGAACCAAAGTTAACCCTTTCATATACTAAACGGGTTTTCTCCAAGTCACTAGACAGACAAACAGACATCAACTGTAGCAAATGAGGATGACGGAGCTGACTGCAATGAGAGAGGAAAAAAAAAATTGTAAGGCAAATCTGAGATTGAGAGACAAAGAGTCCTGGCCTTCTAGGTGATTTTATCAATACAACATGAATGCTTCTAACTTCTCATTAAAATACCTCAAATTCTAAAAGAACTATAGATTAGGAGGCATTTAGGAAACAGTGTTTACTGTCATGACTAGGAGAATCCATAAATAAGCCATCCAAGAAACACATAATGAAGCATTCGTTCAGACACACGAGAAGTGAGTACCACCTTCTCCTGTATTATCCACTGAGAAGCAAACGGAGTGGGAACAGACAGAAGACAGACCTGTATTTCTCATTTGGAGAGAGAGAAAGTGTAACCACAGCCTGACAGTCCTCCTGAGGTTAATGACATTTCCTCACCTCACTGTGACAACCCCAGGAGCACTTGTGGCTGCTGCACATTCTTTCTTACCTACTACGTTCCTGCTCTGCAACAAGAAGATCAGCCAAGCGTAGTTTAATACAGTTCTGGTGGGGCTCAAAGCTGAGTTCCTTCACTGTAACTCTGCTGCCTTCCCACATTAAGCTACAAGGAGAAGAGGAGGAACTTCTATGAGATGTCTTCTACAGTATTTTTCCATTACGGAATTAGTTACAAATAATTCTGTAATTCTGAAATGCTCTGGTGCTGTCTCCTGCTGTTAGTAACATTACTTTGAGGATCCTGGCTACAGCATATACCATTTCAAATTCTCATCCTGTCAAAGACTGGATGTACCAAGACAGATTTGCTGTCCATAGATGATATCCTTCCCTGATCCAAGGTAAAGAACAAGGAGCCTCTAAAGGTCATTTCTCTAAAGGACATCACCCCACTGTGATACAAGTCAGAGCTTTGGGATCACCCATTTGTCCATTCTCAGATGCCTCTGAGGCACAATTACTTGCTACACAATACAAAAGATAAAAAAAAGGCTCAGTCTGCACTTGGAACTCTCATTGTACCACAGGCTTGAGCAAGTGGGCTGCAGATGTGCATATCCAGAGGCCGGAGCTCTCACCCAACAATTCCAAGGATTAAACACTGAATGCCACAATCTGTGCATGCCCAACCCAATCATAATTGGGTTAATAATGCTGGAAAGGACCAGAGCAACCTACAGATATCAAGAGTGTCTAATCAGTGGACCTCAGGAAACAAGGTGCAAGCAGAAAGCACTGGATGAATATAGAATATACAAGGAAAACTATCAAACAAGGCAACTGGTACAACAAGTTGCTGCTCAATAGTGACAGGTACACACCAAGAGTGGCTAAAACCCCTTTGATTCCACTTACTTTGTCATCATCATGTATGGTCCAACATGGTAAGAAAATGCTGGTTCATCATCTGCCTGAACCAAGTCTTTTTCCCCAATAATAGGGAGAGATGCCAAGTACCCCAGATGACCGCTGCCTGCAAGATAAAACTGAAACAAGACCAGGGCTTAAAGAAATGGAATATGCAACAGTTCCCAAGATCCCTCACATCTCCCACAAGCTCACTAAAAACCTGAGGGCAATCACTGCAATGGGAGCACCAGCCAAAGCATCAAAATGAAATGTTAAGATCTCTATGTCTAAAGCTTAACTTTCTAGTGAAGCCAAAATAGGGAAAGCAGAAACAGTCGTTAAGAGCTCCCACAGGTGACATTTAACAGGAGTTTCTACTGCCTGTTCCAAAACAGCTCTTTCTGACAGGGCCTACTAATAACTAAAGGCCTGGGTATTTGCACTGTCCCCATTTTTTTCCCCACCATTTCAGTAGAAATAAGAAAACACTAAAATGAAAAATAACACAGGTGGGATAATTACTGTGAAGAATATGTGACTGAAAAACTGCACTACTACCACTAGAAAACCATTGTCCATAGCTCCTTACCTTCCCAAACCCAAAGCTGTAAATGCTCTTGGCTGTGTTAGCTCCACCTTTTAGAAATCTACGCAGAGGACTGTCAACATTTCTAAGTATCAAAAACATAAGCAATAAGAGTAACTAATACGCCAAGGCTTTGAGTTAAATAGAAAAGAGAGATAGAGAGAAAAATGCAGTTCTGCAACAGCCATGTATTTAAAATGTTGCATTTGTCTGGTCCCACATAAAAAAGTCTAATGCAGATGCTGAGATCCCAAATTACTATGCAACTCATTAAAACCCTTTAGACACACCACTATAATATGTATCTGTTTAAAGCAAGATAGCCAAATTAACAGAAATATGTATATACAGGCATCTTGCATTGCTTTTTGTTCACAAGTATGTATTTTTCTTAACATGTATCTAACATGAAAGCTCTTGAAACAGTTGCAAACACACCCCCAAAAGATTTGCAGTGACCTTAAAAGGTCAAGAAACAAACTACTTCATGTTACCCCATTTTAATACTAAGAAAATCCAGTACTTCATATTGATGATTTCAAGACTATCTCTTTTAACGTACAGATATTTACATCTACCAAGTTTCTATTTGGAACCCCTACAACAGAAATTTTTAAAAAATCATCATTCCTAACACACGTTAGTTTTAAATCCGATATTGATAAAAATAATAATTAAAAAAAATTTTGAGATTATAGAATATGGAAGTAACACTCCTTGTAGTTCAATCCCTCAGCACTCAAGAATATATTCTTACCCTTGAACAAGGCCCCCAAACCTAGACGGGCTGCAGACCAGCGCATTTGATGAGCCAACCTTCTTGAGCAGATCAGAAGGAAAATTCTGAATGACAGCCTGCATGTGGGATGTACAACGCTGGATAAATTCCAGCATCTAGAGAGGAGGGGGAAGGAAAAAACAACAAAACCTAAATTACTTCGGAACTGTAAGACACACCATTTAAAATTAATAGATCATGACTACTGAAAAAATAACCCCATTACTTGCAATTTTTAAATAAGCATTTCGAGAAATGGATACACAGAAAATCTTCAAGAAAATCAATTACATGAAAATGTAATAAAAGCTTACTTCAAACACTAGATGACTAACTTTCAAGACATTCACCCACTGAAAATTGCAGTATCAGGTTTCTTGTTAAGAGCAGCATTGTAATAACAGGAAAGAGGACTATTATAACATGAATTTTAAATCAATATTGCAGTCACAGATAATCCTTTATGATACATTTTGCTCCCATGCCAGCAAAAATGCCACATTTGCTGACACTGCTCATGCACAGACTGAGATGCACTTGGAAACTGCTTCAGCTTCACCCCTGAATTGCACATACATACATACAAACTACATACGTCAGGGACATAAAACAAGGGCCTGTCACTCTCCTCACTGCACACTTACACATCAAGGTCCCAACAAATTACAGACAGATACATCCCTGCACCTGAGCAGGCTTACCCTCTCCTCCTCTTCCGTAGTATACTCTGTACCGGATTCTGAAAAGCCACCCTCCTCATAAAGTGGCTTTTCCTCACAGGGCACTCCAGGGGATGCATAAAGATCTCCAAGGGTACCCCAAGCTTCTTCCTTTTGCTGCATTTTTTCATCTTTTAGAGTTTGACATAATCCAGCTTCTTCTTCCATTGAGTCGTTGTGGCATTCTGGAAAACTGGCAAAGATTTCATTGTTTTCAAAGCTACAAAGGCTGTCATCCACATCACTGGCACTGAAGGTTGTCTGGGGTTCAGATGCTACATCATGATTTTTGTCCTGTGCAACTGGCTGCAGACTGATTGATGCCTCTTGGTCCACTGAAGCACTATGCTCCTCAGGTAAGGGAGAGTATCTTGAGGTAGTAGAGCTGTCTGAAAAAATGGATTTTAAGTGTTAAGCCATTTCTCCAGGTGTCCATCAAACACACTCCTTTCGTACATTTAGAAGTTAACATCTTTTAGAGATTACGTGAGCAGCATTTAACACCTCTGCTGAAAACTGTGTGCCTGAACTTGAAATATTAACCAGACTTAAAGTCTTGAGTTTACATTAACAATAAGGGTGGCACCTAAAATCCAAACCTAACTGCTTTCTGTTTTCAAACTATGTAATAAAATCTGTAAGTGCTCACATTTTAATTATTTATATTAGACCTTTATGGACTGAAGAACACGCTAAGTGAAGGACACATGACATCTTGCCAGAAGAACCTCACCAGCCTCGGTTATCTCTTCTCTCTGCACTTCCTGTCTTCTCTTCTGGTAGCTAAAAGCTGATGCCAAACAGATGTTCACATCCGCAAAAGCAGCAGGTCTTGGTGCTTTTGATATTTCATCAGCATGACCAGTGTGAGACTTGGTTAAGTCCTGTAATACAAAAAACAGAATAAAAGACAACTATATTAGACAGTGCAGTGTTTCTACCTTCTCTTTCAAAGTGGTTTGCTTCCATGATCAGAAAATGATAATGTTTAGACTACTCCCAACCCAGATTTAAGCAGAACAACTTGAATCTGAATGGACACAAAACTGCCATTTTAAATATGTGCAAGGCTACAATCCTGGAAGTCACCTTTAAGTCATTTTTCATTATATATTGAATATCCTGAAGTTTCATGAAGCGGTTCCTCTGCTTAGGTTCTAGCCCTGACTTTACAACATCGTAATAGGGCATAGGAAGTCTGACATCTGCTTCTAACTGTTGTCCTGAAATGATGAGCTGTTTAATAACCGAGTCTTCAAAACCTTTCCAGGGAAGGGTCTCTACAAGACATAAATATAGACTTTACGTCACAAACTATCAATGTGAATAAAATAAAGAAAGAAGAAAAAAGAGAAAAGGATCAGAGATACTGAAGCATTACCGTCTGCACGTTCCCTAATTAACAACTACTCTCACAAACCCAATGAGCACTCAGTTCAGTCCCTATCTTATTTCAACAGTGGATGTTTTACAGGGAGCTGACAGCAATCTCTAAAGGACTGTAAACCATGCTCCGGATTCTTCATTACCAACTAGCTAAGAGAGGGTTTAATTTTTAGGGTAATTATTTATCCCATTTCACTGCCAAAATAGTCAAAGTCAACCTACATTACATTATCTGTAACAACAATAACAATATGTTATCTTTAAGTTAGCTTAGGGTAAAAAGATGAATGGTTCACAGGCTTGGTTTTTGCATATTGCAAAGAGTTAACTGAATGTTTTGCTATCTTTGAGAATGCTGTACAGAGAACCAAAGTTAACCCTTTCATATACTAAACGGGTTTTCTCCAAGTCACTAGACAGACAAACAGACATCAACTGTAGCAAATGAGGATGACGGAGCTGACTGCAATGAGAGAGGAAAAAAAAAATTGTAAGGCAAATCTGAGATTGAGAGACAAAGAGTCCTGGCCTTCTAGGTGATTTTATCAATACAACATGAATGCTTCTAACTTCTCATTAAAATACCTCAAATTCTAAAAGAACTATAGATTAGGAGGCATTTAGGAAACAGTGTTTACTGTCATGACTAGGAGAATCCATAAATAAGCCATCCAAGAAACACATAATGAAGCATTCGTTCAGACACACGAGAAGTGAGTACCACCTTCTCCTGTATTATCCACTGAGAAGCAAACGGAGTGGGAACAGACAGAAGACAGACCTGTATTTCTCATTTGGAGAGAGAGAAAGTGTAACCACAGCCTGACAGTCCTCCTGAGGTTAATGACATTTCCTCACCTCACTGTGACAACCCCAGGAGCACTTGTGGCTGCTGCACATTCTTTCTTACCTACTACGTTCCTGCTCTGCAACAAGAAGATCAGCCAAGCGTAGTTTAATACAGTTCTGGTGGGGCTCAAAGCTGAGTTCCTTCACTGTAACTCTGCTGCCTTCCCACATTAAGCTACAAGGAGAAGAGGAGGAACTTCTATGAGATGTCTTCTACAGTATTTTTCCATTACGGAATTAGTTACAAATAATTCTGTAATTCTGAAATGCTCTGGTGCTGTCTCCTGCTGTTAGTAACATTACTTTGAGGATCCTGGCTACAGCATATACCATTTCAAATTCTCATCCTGTCAAAGACTGGATGTACCAAGACAGATTTGCTGTCCATAGATGATATCCTTCCCTGATCCAAGGTAAAGAACAAGGAGCCTCTAAAGGTCATTTCTCTAAAGGACATCACCCCACTGTGATACAAGTCAGAGCTTTGGGATCACCCATTTGTCCATTCTCAGATGCCTCTGAGGCACAATTACTTGCTACACAATACAAAAGATAAAAAAAAGGCTCAGTCTGCACTTGGAACTCTCATTGTACCACAGGCTTGAGCAAGTGGGCTGCAGATGTGCATATCCAGAGGCCGGAGCTCTCACCCAACAATTCCAAGGATTAAACACTGAATGCCACAATCTGTGCATGCCCAACCCAATCATAATTGGGTTAATAATGCTGGAAAGGACCAGAGCAACCTACAGATATCAAGAGTGTCTAATCAGTGGACCTCAGGAAACAAGGTGCAAGCAGAAAGCACTGGATGAATATAGAATATACAAGGAAAACTATCAAACAAGGCAACTGGTACAACAAGTTGCTGCTCAATAGTGACAGGTACACACCAAGAGTGGCTAAAACCCCTTTGATTCCACTTACTTTGTCATCATCATGTATGGTCCAACATGGTAAGAAAATGCTGGTTCATCATCTGCCTGAACCAAGTCTTTTTCCCCAATAATAGGGAGAGATGCCAAGTACCCCAGATGACCGCTGCCTGCAAGATAAAACTGAAACAAGACCAGGGCTTAAAGAAATGGAATATGCAACAGTTCCCAAGATCCCTCACATCTCCCACAAGCTCACTAAAAACCTGAGGGCAATCACTGCAATGGGAGCACCAGCCAAAGCATCAAAATGAAATGTTAAGATCTCTATGTCTAAAGCTTAACTTTCTAGTGAAGCCAAAATAGGGAAAGCAGAAACAGTCGTTAAGAGCTCCCACAGGTGACATTTAACAGGAGTTTCTACTGCCTGTTCCAAAACAGCTCTTTCTGACAGGGCCTACTAATAACTAAAGGCCTGGGTATTTGCACTGTCCCCATTTTTTTCCCCACCATTTCAGTAGAAATAAGAAAACACTAAAATGAAAAATAACACAGGTGGGATAATTACTGTGAAGAATATGTGACTGAAAAACTGCACTACTACCACTAGAAAACCATTGTCCATAGCTCCTTACCTTCCCAAACCCAAAGCTGTAAATGCTCTTGGCTGTGTTAGCTCCACCTTTTAGAAATCTACGCAGAGGACTGTCAACATTTCTAAGTATCAAAAACATAAGCAATAAGAGTAACTAATACGCCAAGGCTTTGAGTTAAATACAAAAGAGAGAGAGAGAAAAATGCAGTTCTGCAACAGCCATGTATTTAAAATGTTGCATTTCTCTCGTCCCACACAAAAAGTCTAATGCAGATGCTGAGATCCCAAATTACTATGCAACTCATTAAAACCCTTTAGGTACACCATTATAATATGTATTTGTTTAAAGCAAGATAGCCAAATTAACAGAAATATGTATATACAGGCATCTTGCATTGCTTTTTGTTCACAAGTATGTATTTTTCTTAACATGTATCTAACATGAAAGCTCTTGAAACAGTTGCAAACACACCCCCAAAAGATTTGCAGTGACCTTAAAAGGTCAAGAAACAAACTACTTCATGTTACCCCATTTTAATACTAAGAAAATCCAGTACTTCATATTGATGATTTCAAGACTATCTCTTTTAACGTACAGATATTTACATCTACCAAGTTTCTATTTGGAACCCCTACAACAGAAATTTTTAAAAAATCATCATTCCTAACACACGTTAGTTTTAAATCCGATATTGATAAAAATAATAATTAAAAAAAATTTTGAGATTATAGAATATGGAAGTAACACTCCTTGTAGTTCAATCCCTCAGCACTCAAGAATATATTCTTACCCTTGAACAAGGCCCCCAAACCTAGACGGGCTGCAGACCAGCGCATTTGATGAGCCAACCTTCTTGAGCAGATCAGAGGGAAAATTCTGAATGACAGTCTGCATGTGAGATGTACAACGCTGGATAAATTCCAGCATCTAGAGAGGAGGGGGAAGGAAAAAACAACAAAACCAAAATTACTTCAGAACTGTAAGACACACCATTTAAAATTAATAGATCATGACTACTGAAAAAATAACCCCATTACTTGCAATTTTTAAATAAGCATTTCGAGAAATGGATACACAGAAAATCTTCAAGAAAATCAATTACATGAAAATGTAATAAAAGCTTACTTCAAACACTAGATGACTAACTTTCAAGACATTCACCCACTGAAAATTGCAGTATCAGGTTTCTTGTTAAGAGCAGCATTGTAATAACAGGAAAGAGGACTATTATAACATGAATTTTAAATCAATATTGCAGTCACAGATAATCCTTTATGATACATTTTGCTCCCATGCCAGCAAAAATGCCACATTTGCTGACACTGCTCATGCACAGACTGAGATGCACTTGGAAACTGCTTCAGCTTCACCCCTGAATTGCACATACATACATACAAACTACATACGTCAGGGACATAAAACAAGGGCCTGTCACTCTCCTCACTGCACACTTACACATCAAGGTCCCAACAAATTACAGACAGATACATCCCTGCACCTGAGCAGGACCTTAGTTAAATAATATGAACCATGAGGACTTAAAAAAAACATTACTGACATAGATAACTACTTAACATTATTTATCAAACATGGAAAAGGCAATAATTTCTCCCTGGAATCTTGGAGTTTCCTCACTTTAAGATGAAGATATGAGCACGTACCTACTACATATTCAACACGTATTGCACACACATACCTGAGCACTGCTTTCTTTCCCAGCAGACATAGCCCAGCACTGAGGACTTTTCCCATTTTTATCATGTACTCTCAGGTCACCTCCTTCATCCAATAACTTGCTAAGGATCCACTGATTTCCTGAGAATGCAGCTGCATGGACCGGGGTGCTTCCATCGTAACAGCGACTGAGGAAGGTTAAAAGCAGAAATGTTTCAAGCTAGCCCTGCTACCAGCACTCCACCTGCTGTGCTTCTGAGCAGAAAAGCACCCACCTAGAACATTTATGTACTCCCAAACAACAACATACACTGTGAAATAGGGAAAATTAGGAGCCTACTTACCTTTGAGGACCTTTGGCTAAAATAGCAACATGCATCTTAAGCACTTGTTCATTTATATACTGTGAATATTGTGTATTACGTTGACTAAAACCACCAAAAGATTAAACATTAATTACAATTTAAGAAAAAAAAAAATTATACTTAACTGATTAGCATCTGAGCCATAATCCAACAGCACATCCACTATTTTACGAAGACCTAGCAATGCAGCGGTGAAGAGTGAAGTCTGGCCCATGGAATTAACAGCATCAACAGAAATTCCTAAAAGAA